GTGGATCACTTGAGGTCAAGAGTTCGAGACCAGCCTGGCCAACATAGTGGAATCCTGTCTCTACTAAACATACAAAAATTAGCCAGGTGTGGTGGCACGTGCCTGTAATCCCCGCTACTTGAGAGGCTGAGGCAGGAGAATGGCTTGAACCTGGGAGGTGGAGGTGGCAGTGAGCTGAGATTGCACCACTGCACTCCAGCCTGGGCAACACAGCCAAACTCCACCTCAAAAAAAAAAAAAAAGTTATCTGAGCAATTCCAGGATGTGGCCATTGGAGGGGGACTGAGAGCGGGCAGGGAGTCACCACTTACTGCTGGAAACGAAGGGAAAGCCCGCGTGTGAGAACAGTAATGGCTGCACCGTTAGCAAAAAGGAAAAGCAAAAGCAGAGCGGGAGAAGCGCCCTGCAGATCCAATCTTGTTGATTCCTTGGCACAGCCCTTCGCTGACCCCTGAAGTTCGTGCAGAGGCGAGGAACGGGTGCCCTGTGTCAAAGGTCTATGCTGTGGCTGCCCTCAGCACTGTGCCCTCTGCTCAGTGCCCCCACCGTGCAGCGAGGAATCCTGGAGACCCTCTACTGGGCAGGACGAGGGGGCGGCGGAGAGGGCCACAGCCCTGAAGGCGGGACATAGGCTGTCCTCCTGAGGGCAGGTGAGGAGGGTCACAGGCAGCAGCTGCACAAGACTTTGGTTCCCGTAGACCTGCTGCCTCCACAGGGCCCGGACTCTGTCTCGTGTTACCAGCTGTGCAGTAATTAAGGAGCAATGCTGGCGGTGGGGCGAGCCAGTCACAGAGCCTGACCCACAGGGGATGAAGCTGGGGCCAGAGACTCTGATGACCAGCTCTCTCGGCTGGGGCCTGGACACACGCTTCTGTTTAATGTGCTGTAGCATAAGGTGTGTCGCTTTCCAGCAGAGGCGCCAACTCAGAGAGGAGTGACCTCTCCAACCTTCCATGAATCATTAGAACATTGCAGAGTGACAGCGGGAACTCCAGTGATTAAACACGGAAGTGAGGCTGGCCAGAGATCACAAGAGGCCCAACACCCAGACAGTACGGAACCTGGGTGGGCACGTCGTCCGTTTTGTCATCCACAGACCAGAGGTAAGCTTCACCCAGCCCCACACGAATTATCCACGTCTGTGTTTGGTGAAACCCGCATTAATGCTGTGTGACCGACCAAGCCCTGCAGCACCGTCTGTCCGGTTTAGACGAAACCCAGCTTGCTGAGAATGAGAACCAGCACCTCCCCCTTTCTCACGGAGCTCCGCTTTTCTGAGGGCATTTTGGTGGATTTTCACTAAGTTCTAGATGGAAACACACAAACTATCTCTTCCCAAGCTCACTGCTTTCCAGATCTCAAGAATGAAGCCCAAACCGTGGAAAGAAACATGCTGTGATCAGTGTAGAAGGAACACAGCCTGCGAGACGCCTCCTCCAATCACACCTGGACCACAACAGGAGCCACAACAGCACCGCACAGGGCCCTCCATCACCTCTGAGTGAGTCCCTTGGGCCCCCACTTCCCAGCAGTGACTGAGAACACAGTTAACGGCAGGGTCTTGGAAGGAGGGGCTACAAAGACACAGAAGCACGCTCACAGTGGGGACGGCACCTTCCCCTCCGCCTCTGCCCACCCCCCCAATACCAGCTGGCTCCTCTTCCTTTTACCCGCTTCGTCTTCCACTCTCTTTGTCCTTCCCTCCCTCTGTATGGGTTCCTCCCTCCAGGTGACTCCTGACATTGGTGGGGCCTGTGATGAGTACCCAGGAGGGCTCAGCTGCTACAGTGTGAAATACCTAAAACTAGTCCATCAGGCTACAGCCAAAGGCTGGCTTGTATGTGCACCCACACCTGAAGCCTGCTCCCCCGGGAGTGTCCTCACAGCCCAGAGGCTACACACAGACGCCAGGGCCTGGGAGCCTGGGAATGGCATGCAGTCCTGCCACGCAGCAGAGGGAAGCCCATGATTAAACATGGAGGTGAGGGCAACAGGAATAACAGGAGGTGCAGCCACCCGGACAGCACAGAGGTGAGTAGGTGCCTCCTCTGTTTCATAACCCACAGTGGCTCCTCCACTTCAAGAACTCCACTGTGAGGAGGCGAGGGATTGCTTTGTTTACCTCCTAATCCCTTTCTCTAACAAAATAGTACCGCCAAGTAGAAAACCCTCCAACAGTATTTCTCAAAAGGACAGAGATCAATGATATGAAGTCATGTATAGGAAACAGACAGCAAAACAAGCTCTGCATTTGAGTAACAGAGAAAAAGAAGAAAGCGGCAGCACATGAGTCTAGGTGCATGTGCATAAGGAAGAGAGGAGGACTGAGCCCAGGAATCATGAGAAGAGAGCTGTTGTGTGAGAACGTGATGAGCGTATGTGCTATTGTGTGTGTGTGTGTGTCACACACGTGCACAGGCACTGGAAGCACACTCATACCTGTCAGCAAACCTGACCCACTGGCTCTTTCCCAAACACAGCATCACATTGAGCTATTCCAAACCATCGAGACTGCTGACGCTGATACGGAGAATCCAGGATCAACTCTACTAAAACCACACGAGAAAATGAGGCTGTCTCTTATTTTCTGACTCATCAAAGCCAAATATCTTCTATTTAAGGGCTGAGGATTTAGGGGAACCTGGGCCAGGCCCTGGCTACCTGCCCCATGCCCATGCTGGATGGGCACTGGCCCAGTCAAGCCCCAGGCAGGCAGGTTCCTCTCTCTTTTCTAATTTAGGATGTCCAGGCCATTGCAAGTAACTGCTAAAATCACATCACCAAGTGAAGAAAGGCGTCAAGGTATTTGTGGATTGTGGTCTGCCTGGACACTCACTTGGGAGGCACACCCAGCTTTACACAAAAGCACATGCCCCCTTTCAAAAATACTTCCAGTTAAAGAAAGTTAAGAAATCAATACATTCAGGATACATACACGGAGTTAACCTGCCTTTTTAAAAACTGCAGGCTCTCCCAGTGCCAGGCAAGTTTTCAGGAAGGTGGTAAGAGGACACAGGATTTTCACCCAATCCCTATTATTATCTCATGGGAAAACTGTTTTTAGAATCCAAAGTCTCAGCTGGACCCATCAAGCCTTCATTTTGCCTCTCCTTTGCGATGACAGGAGAAGAGAAGGTAGTGTTTTTTTTTTTTTTTGGAGACAGTTTTGTGCTCTTGTAGCCCAGGCTGGAATGCAATGGTGCGATCTTGGCTCATAGCAACCTCCGCCTCCCGGGTTCAGGCAATTCTCCTGCCTCAGCTTCGCGAGTCGCTGGGATTACAGATGCCCACTACCACGCCTGGCTAATTTTTTGTATTTTTAGTAGAGATGAGTTTCACCATGTTGGCCAGGCTGGTCTTGAACTCCTGACCTCAGGTGATCCAACCACCTCAGCCTCCCAAAGTGTTGGGATTACAGGCGTGAGCCACAGCGCCTGGCAGTTGTGAGATTTTATGCCTCTAGGAAAAGGTGTGTATGTGTGTAACTGAAGCAATTAATACTGAATATCTTCTATCTTAAGCTATTATTATCTAACAGGCAGGGGCTGTAACTAGCAGCTGCCTTAGTGCCCACAGTTAAGAATCTGTTATATAGGGGTACCAGGCAGGTGTAGACATCATATTCTGGGGCCAGACGCAGAGGCAGAATGGGTGCTTTGGGGTTGAGTGCACATGGCCGAGAGGACAGAGCTGGCGGGAAGAAGACCAAGGCCCTGCAACCAGCAACTGTGACCAGTGCACCCTTGCCACTGCAGCAGAGCCTGGTCCGAAGCTGATGACAGAGCTGATGCACCAAAGTGTGTGACATCCTATCTGGCCCTGGGGCTGCCCAGATCTGCCTGCAAGCTTACATAAAACATTTTGTGTAAAGCACGCGGGCCCGGTGCCTGCTTCGTAGGAAAGTACTCGCAGTAAATGGCAGTGATACTAACAAGACCACAAAACATGAGGCTGGCGTCTCCCTCACCCCCCACAGGTAGGGGGAAGCAGATTTTGCCAGCTGGGATGGTGCTCGGTGTGTCTTCAGTGGGGTGCAGGGCCCAGTGGTCACTACAAACCATGGGTGACCTCTGTGAGAAACCTGCAGGTCCACTGTGACTGAAAAAGCAAAGTGAGTAGCATGGTTGGGTTAAAATCCACTGAAGCTGAAGCCCCGCTTCGGCTGACAGGAAGAGAGTTGATGATCACCGGATATTCCCACTGGTGACCACTGCTGCTCTTCCAGCAAAACATGCCTGCGCG